CCCCCAGCACCACATGCCAGCCAGCCCCACCCCCTGGTGGGCTGAGCTGGCCACACACACACACACACACACACACACACACACACACAAATAAATAAAAAATTTAAAAAAATATATAGAGTATGCTGATACTTACTATGCAAAAAACCATGAAGCAGTCTCCCACTACAAGGCAGCAGACTGCAGGAGGACTGCATATCCAAAGGCAGCCTGGGAACTCCATGAGGCTCTGGCCAGAACTTTCCCACTGGAGGATGAATGTCTTCTTTCCGCTCAGTCAGCCTCTCTGCGACTCATTTGGAGATAATGTTGAAAATCTCCACTTGTGACCCTCTGTAAAATGTGATGGCAAAGCCAAGCATCCTTCCTAACGTCCCACAAGACTGTATGACCTCCACTTTACTGATGAGGACACAGGTCGCCTAAGAGACAAAGTCACACAGTGGGTGACACTGAGGTGCTGGTTCAAGTCTGACACAACAAGGATTGAAGGAGGCTGGTCACTAGGAGAAACAAGGCAAAACAAAACAAAAGAAATAGAACAGTAAAGAAAATATTAGCATATATCACTCATGGTATGGTTAAATATTGGTTCATAAAAATGTTTGTCTTTGTTTGACACAATCTCACTATGTACTCCAAGCTGGGCTTGAACTTACAGAGATCCTCCTGCCTCAGCTTCATGAGGGCTGGCATTATAAGTGTGCACCTTATAAATTTTTTTTTGTTGGGCCAGGGAGATGGCTCAGTAGAATAAGTGCTTCCCTGGCAAGTGCAAGGGCCTGAGTTCAATCCTCGGTTCCGCAAAAAAAAAAAAAAAAAAAAAAAATTTATGTGTGTGGTTCCAGGGATAAAATCCAGAGTCTCACACATGCTAAGCACACGCTCCACCACTGAGTAACATCTTCTAGCATGAGTTTATAAAACTTTGTTCCAGTTGTGTAGGAACATGTATGTGTGTGTGTAGGTGTACATGTGTGCGCTGCAAAACGATATGAAATTAGTTTATTCCTCATTGTCACCTGCAGTTGAAAATAAGTTTGAGAAATGTTCCGTCACAACTGGCAGACTGTTGTGACCTCCCCTACCCTGCCCTCCTGGAACCAAGCCCAGGGGCCACTGGACCCCAGGCTCTTCCGCCTGCCCTTCTCTGCCCGCCCTGTGTCTGTGCCTCCCCAGATGGTGTGGGCCTCCTCCAACCGGCTGGGCTGTGCCATCCACACCTGCGACAGCATCAACGTGTGGGGCAGCACCTGGTACCAAGCAAGCTACCTGGTATGCAACTATGCCTCGAAGTAAGTGCCTGGCTGGCTGGGGTGGAGGGCGCTGGGTAGGAAGGGACTCCCACGAATTCAGGGAAGGAAAGACATGCGCCGTACCCCTCCTTCTTCCCACGGAGTAGCATGAGATTTGGGTAATTTTAGGGAGTCAACTAATAGTCTTTTTGTTTACCCAATTTCAGAGTCAGCTGGGAGAAAGAGCAGAGGCAGGCTGGAAGGCGGCTTCACTAAGGAAGTGGAGAGCACAGAAGTAGCTTAGCCGGACCCTCCGGCCATGAGGCCTTGCAAATGCTTCGCAATTAAGTTAGACCTGTGCATTGGTGCCCAGCAGCACCGGGCAAATGGGCCTCCTCTCATGAGTGCAGGGCCAGCCCCTCTACGCTCAGCCCAAGAAATAAACAACTAAGCTGGGATCACACACCTGTAATCCCAGCACTCTTGGAGGCTGCGGCAGGAGGATCACAAGTTCAAGCCCAGCCTGAGCAATTTAGTGAAACCCTGTCTCAAAATTTAAAAAGTATATGAAGAGGTGGGATGGAACTCAGTGCAAAGGTCCTGAGCTCAATTCCCTACTACTGGTAAAATTGTTCAGTCATTCAACCAAGAACACCTGGTGCCCATAGGCAAGGATATCCTTTTCTGAAGGGCTAGACTGAGCATGCTCAGCTCCTCCTCTGGAACTAGCCAATTAGCTTGATGAGAGGGAGGTCAGGTACCGTCTCCTTACAAGTCCTGAGGAATCCTGGGGAGAGGAGTATGGAAATGGGAATGAAATATCACACACTTAAGAGGGTCATCCCAGTAATGCTCCTGGGCTCATAATAAATGGGAACATTTACTGGTTCTGATTGTTACTACCAGATGTCATGGCTTGTGTCCACAGGGTCTCACTACACAGATCAGACTAGTAGTGATCCTCCTGTTTTCAGCCTCCCAAGCACTGGGATTACAGGCATGTGCCACCGCGCCCAGTCTTAGGAGACATCTCAGTACGCCCAGTGGCCAGGCAGCACGGCACGCCTGGGATCTAACCCTGGTCTCTGCACCTGCCTAAGCAAGTGCTTTAGTCCTCTGAGCTATCTGTTTGGCCCTACAATTGCCATTTTTTATTTTGGTAGCACTATACTGAGGTGCTTGAAGTCACTGGTAGCCAGCAGCTAACATAAATCTAGGATATTTTATTTATCAGAGGGTGTGATCTATTGACAAAGTGTCATATTACAGCCCAGCTTTACCCAAACTGGAAAAACATAAGAAACTAAATTCTATTACATATACCTTAAGGAAAGGGGGAGCAGGAGGGAGTGTAAGAACAGGAAGTAGGGGGCATCAGTAAGAATGAAATACATTATACACACGGAAACCCAAAAATGATGTGAAACTGGGGGAGGGGAGGGGTCGTGGAGGAGGTGAACAAATATGGTATGTCCATGGGCATACTGAAACTTAGAAACTTAGCAAGACCCCGACTCAAAAATTTAAAACATATATAAAGGACTGGAAAGGCAGTTTACTGTAAAGGTCCTGGGTTCAATTCCCAGTACAGACTAAAAAAACAAAGGCATAATTCACATGCAGCGTGGAGACACATGCCTATCATCTCAGAGCTCAGAAAGCTGAGGCAAGAGGATCCCTACACAGTGAGTGCAAGGCCAGCTCGAGGTCAGGTACCTTCTTCTTACGAGTCCCTCGGAAACCTGGGAAGAGGCATTAATTGCAATCACCACGTTGCGCAGCCGTGGCTGTTGTTCCCAAAACTTTTCGTCAGCCAACAGAGAAACTCCCTGTTAAGTAATAACTCTCCA